AGAGAGTACACTCATGGCAGATATTGTTTTACCAGTTGATGACATAACATCAACATTTTACCAGTTGTCATAACACATGACATTAAACAATTTACCAGTTGTCATAACGCATGACATTAGATCAACATTTTACCAAAATCGTGACCTATGACAAAATTAAAAAGCTGAACTTTGTTGTATTGCATGAAGACACTTAACTATATAACTCAAGCCAGTGGCGAAGCTACCGTAAAGCTAGCGTAAGCAAGGCATAGGGGCCCAAGGCAAATAGGAGCCCCCTTTCCGCGTGAACAAAATCTAAAACTTTTATATTGGAATTGTAATATTTGTTTTAAGTAAATAATTTTAAAAAGAAAAAAGGAAATCCAGTTTCTTTTCTAATGTAGAAATAATTTAAAGTTCCAAAAAGGCCCCCAGTCCTTTCTTACTGTACATGCATTGGCATTCAGTGTGTGTGTGTGGGGGGGGGGGGGGGTCGCACAGGGCCCATATGGCGCTACTAATCATATAAGTTTGTAAGTTTGTTTTTTGTTTTCATCCAATCGGCGAGATAATTTGGGAAGTTGTTGAAAATACTACAGGTAGTGTTTTTTGCCAGACATATTTTCTGAAAAAGTGCTTGAAAGAAACTCTGGTGAAGGTTTCTAGCATTATTTTTTTTATGGTGGCGCCCAGGCAGTAAGGAGGTGCTGTTTGCCACTTAGTTTCCCAGCGGCTATTTTTGAACCTGGGGTCCGTTAATTTGAATTTAAACCAGTCACAAAAACGTGTTTAAATATAAATACATGAACCATGCGCTTGTTTAATAAGAGAAATATGTTCATTGACTTCTGTCCCGTCAAGTTCGGATAGATCTGTACAACCCGATCAGCCAATCAAACCAGATCTAGACACAATGAACTCAGTCATGTGACATTATGATTACACAACCTATTGTTTGACCAGTTGTCATGACACGTTATCTAATGCGAGGGGGGGGCACAATCGAACATAATCAATTTTTTTATAGTTGAAAAAAAATTATTGCATTAGGAGCCATCTCTCCGCGCGTAGGTCTCAAGATGAACAAAGACAGACAGAAGTAATGAGAATTAACAATAACCAGGAGGCTCCAGTGACAATAGACGGAAGACAGGTAAATGATGTGCATGAGTTCGTCTACCTTGGCAGCAAGATCAGCAAAACGGGAGGCACAGAAGAGGACATACGCGCTAGAGTAAATAGAGCCCGATGCGCTTTCACAGTCCTGCGACTCATATGGAAAAGTTCGGCCATCTCCATTACCATTAAAATTAGGATATGTAACTCTAATGTCAAGGCAGTTCTGATGTAATGAGCAGAGACATGGAGAGTCTCCAAGGCAAGCACAGCAAAGATACAGACCTTCATGAATAGATGCCTTAGATAGATATTGAAACTGAGATGGCAGGACAAAATGCCGAACATAGAACGATGTAGGAAAGCTAGGCAGGAGCCTATAGGTGTGCAAATAAGAAGGAGGAAATGGCGCTGGGTGGGTCACACACTGCGAAAGGCTCACCCAAATGTTACACGCCAAGCGCTTAAGTTGAACCCCCAGGAAAGCGGAAAAGAGGGCGCCCAAGACAGACCTGGAGGCGGAGTCTTCTTGAAGAACTGAAGCCAACAGCGATGTCTTGGAAGATGTCAAAATTAATAGCCGGGGATAGGAAGAAATGGAAGGAAATGGTGGAGGCCCTATGGTTCATAAGGAGCAAAGAGGACTAAGTCAAGTAAGTCAAGCACCCCTATTATACAAGGCGACTTTTTAATGTGTATTTATGTGGAAAGTCCAAAGATCAAATATGTGTTAGAGCAGCCCTTAGAATGTTCAAACTGTGATTCCGTTTCATCTTGTCTCAGCACGACTAGGATTGGTGCTGAGATATAACTCAACATATCTAGACATCGGTAGTCCCCCAACCACCAACATAATGATGCTTTAACAAATATGAATAATAAACTATCCGAACAATAATTCAAAATTAAGTTCTTGAAACTGATTTTAAAGTAAGGTATAATTTACTTAAACATATCGGAAATACACTTTTCTTCTCAGAAAATCCTCTTTAGCAAGTACACAGAACTACTATTTTCCCTTATGCAAACAAACTTCAGCGTCAATTTTATCTGTGCATATGTTTAGTTCTAACACAGCCCACTAAAATCACGTGTGAACATACAATCTTAAACATATCAATTAATATATATATATATATATATATATATATATATATATATATATATATATATATATATATATATATATATATATATATATATATATATATATAACTAATATATATATATATATATATATATATATATATATATATATATATATATATATATATATATATATGTATATACATATAACTAATATATATAGTTCAATCCTGTATGTTTGTAAGTAAAATATTTGTCGAGGATACTGCAATAGATTTAAGTGTTAGATTATTATCGTGCTCATGGTCTAAATTTATGAGTTAAAAAATTACTAGTGAAAGTCTTTAAAAACAATTTTCATTGTATATACTTAGAAAAATAATTGTCAATTACGAACATTACATAAAATTTAAAAAAAAAAAGTGTATCAAAGTTTATAAAATTTCTAAAATTGTGTCTGAAATATATTTGCATTTTGTCCTTTAGTTCTCATAACGTCCCTTGATTTGGAAAACACAGTTACTTTCCATTAAAAAAAATAAAACATTAAATCGTGGGAAGAAAGAATTTACTTTTTATTACTTTGTTTTGGTGTTAAGAAAAAAAATAATTACATAATTAGCGGGGATTGATTAAGTGCAATGTCGTTGGTATTTTTAATACTGCCTTTTATTTATTCTATACACTGAACATACTGTTTACTAATTATTTTTTTTGAATCCATAACATTTAATAATCCAGGTCCTACAAATCCTGTATGTTTATTTCTTTCCATTTACGGATAAGCTTGGAGTATTATAATTATAATTTTGTTCACTAAATTGAAACAGGCGCGTCCACCGGCGCCCCTGCACGTTTCGATTTGGCGCCCTGGGCTATCATGTGAGCGCTATGCTGCATAATTTTGTTTTAAACAGTGCGTTAGACTATGGATAAGAAAGGTTACTATAGTATTTAAGTTAATCAAATCCGGGCGTCCTCCGGCACCCCGACAGGGTGCTATTTGGCGCCCCGGGCCTTCCCGTGTACGCTATGGTACCTACGTTCGCGTAAGTAAGTTCAAAAGACTATGAATAAGTCGGATACTATAGTCGTTTTCTATGTTGAATTAGGTGGTTACGCCGCCCGTCGTCATGGTGCGATTTGTCGCCCCGGGATAGACTGTGGACACTTTGAGTTTATATTTGCGTTTGTGTTTTCTTTGTGTTTGGGTTTGCGTTTGTGGTTGTGTTTGGATTTGGATTTGTTTTCGTTTGCTTTTTATCTTTGCGTTTGTGTTTTCGTTTGATTTTTCTTTGCGTTTGTGTTTTCTTTGTGTTTGCAATTGTTTTTGTGTTTTCGTTTGTGTTTGTATTTGTGTTTGTGTTATGTTTGCGTTGTTTTTTTGTGTGTTTTAGTTTCGTTTGGTTGTGGTTGGGTTTGTGTTTGCGTTTGGATTTGTTTTCGTTTGCTTTTTTGTTTGCGTTAGTGTTTGTGTTTTCTTTGTGTTTGTGGTTGGGTGTGTCTTTGTCTTTGCGTTTATTTTTGTGTTTTCGTTTGTGTTTGTTTTGTGTTAGTGTTATGTTTGCTTTTTTTGTGTGTTTTGGTTGGTTGTGGTTAGGGTGGGCAATGCCGGGTAAATGCTGATTACTAAACACACAAGTTATGGTCCTTTACAGATACGCTATTCAGAGATGCCAGTGCAGGGCCTGGAAGGGGCGGCTAATATATATATATATATATATATATATATATATATATATATATATATATATATATATATATATATATATATATATATATATATATATATATATATATATATATATTGTTTGAATGTGGTTTAAGCCGAATCACACTTTGATTTTATGTCAACTTGCTGTATCATGTTTGTTAACCTGTAGGTTTCACATCACTGACGTCACACCTTTTGTTAATTATTGTCGTAAACCTGGGTTATGTCTAGTCAAGATCTTGATGAAAAAACTCAATACGCAATGTATTACCAGTAGAAAGACACGCTGAAGGTAAATGTGTACACTTACAACATAGACAGTTATCAGCCTCAAAATAAACAAAATAAACCGTGAGTGATCTCGCCTAAACGTTTTTGAATATTCTTATATGAAACAACAGGGGAAGGCAACTCGGGTATATTGACATGATTTTTAATCCATTTTAAATACTTAAACTTTTTAAAATAGAATAAAATCTTGTAGAAAAAAGAATTACATTCCAAGTGAACGCCACATTAAATGTGCATAGTTGTGCGGAATATTATTAGTACTTTATAAATTCACAGGCGGTTTTTGAGGAATCGGAAATAGCGAAACCTACTACTAACGTTAAACAGAAATTACTCAAAATTTGATAGATCTTTTACTTACATGTGAACTTTTATTTATCTATCTGAAATAGTACTCAAGTTATAGGCTTCTTAAAAATTTAAACTAGAAAAAGTTCCACTTTCGGGTTATCGAAAATCGCTTAAAAATTGATACGGGTCTATGATTTTGATATAATATTTACACATGAATTTTCATCAACCTAGCTGTGTTTACACACACACACACACACGCACACACACACACACACGCACACACATATACATACATACATATATATATATATATATATATATATATATATATATATATATATATATATATATATATATATATATATATATATATATATATACACACACATAGATATAGGCGATATTACAAGAATATGTTTTACCGACTCAGAGAGGTGTAAAATATGATCTTGTAAAACCAATCAAGCGTGATGTGTAAAGAAATAAAATCCAGTGTCTGTTATAAAACACTTGAAAAACTTCTTGTTCATGTCACATATCACTTCCTTACATAACTGGTGCGTGTGCTGTTTGGGATTCAATGTCAATTTAATTAGGTAATTATTTTGGCCTTTACTAATTTTTTTTTGGATCTTGATTAATTTTATCTACAAATATTATTAAGTCGTTCCATTTAAGAAAAGAATTTCTCTAAATAAAATTTACAGTAAGTCAATGTATCTCACAATACTGCTGGTATTAGAGGTAGCCTTGCATCAATTCGTTTTGATAATCGGTACTCTAGTTACTCTAATTACTATTTACATATGTGCAAAAGAATATCTTAAATTTTATTACATTTGACGGTATTTTAAATTAATCGATATTGAGACATAACAATTGTTGACGATTCTTAAAATATCGATTGAGTAATTTATGTATTTTCCCGCCGTTCTAAGGCTATGCGTAAATTTATATTAATAGGGAACAATTAAGTTCTATTAACATTCTCATATATATAAGATAAAATCAATAGTATATATTTGCAATATTTATTTGTCAAAATACATTAAGTATTTATACTTGCTATTTATTCAAATTTTCTAGTCGATTTGAAGTATCGGGATCGTAAATAGTTTTTATCATTTATCTTTTATTATTTTAATTTATAAGTTAATTAGAAATAAATTCAGTATGCAGATAGATATACTTATCATTATAATACATATTAACATAATTATTATGGCCGGTAGAGATCTGTCACATCAAGTTACAGGTAAATTTAATTATCCATACAGTTTAATACATCCATGTTTTAGTGCTGATTTAGACATTGTGTTAAACCTTTGTTTTGTGGTTTATTTAATAGAAATCAACTTGGATAGTCTAGATGACCACAACAGTATGGCCAGTGGAGAGGATAATCTAGATGACCTTGACAGTATGGCCAGTAAATTAGACATTTCAACATATTTCACAGGTAATGTCCAGTTGTTTGGAAATATATTAAAAGGGTATCTACCTGCACGCTTAAATGTTTTGTGCTGATGAAGACCTAATGTTAGAACATTTTTTGTTTGAAGTATTTACTGGATAATTATCTTAAGATGGTGATGGTTAAGATGGTTGTGACAGTTGGATGTTGTAGATAGTTTTCATATTTTATGTTTGTCCAAGTTTAACAGCTAATGTTTACAGTAACATTATTGTTTTGTTTACCTGTACAGGTACACATGAAGTACAAGAATGCCTTGAAGGTCAAGGTGAGGCAGATCTACACACACACCTATTAAACTGCGAGAAAAATCCTGGCCATACAAATTTTATACCTGTAAATCAGTTAAGTCTTGAACATTTTCCTCATGGTTACCAAGACAAAGACCTGTATGACCTCACTAAAGCAATTACTGACCTAACTGTCAGGATAGTTGTGATGTTGACCAGTCCAGACAGACCAGAGTTTGTACCAGGCACTAAAGATCCATATCCTTGCTACAACAACAGGGGACAGAACTCACTGAAGACAGGGACTGGAAGGGTGTTGGGGGTGACCAAGTACACAGAGGGAATGGACGGCTACAGAACTTGTCCATGTCCTGAGTGTGGCCTCTCTGAAACACCCAGCAAAGTGTGGTGGGAGGTTAGTGTGGTGACAGCCACACATGTAGTTTTTGATTCAAGCGAGGCGAGACAGTCCAGCTGTAGGTTGTGGTTTGATGATGATCAAAGTCCAGTGGTGAAAATTTATGGGTGGAAGGTAGATGATTGGTCACACACTAAGGACGACTGGTGTCTGTTGTATTGTGCGACACATGACGTAGAAGTAAATGATAAACTAGAGGAGATGGTGAGGCAGTTTGATGATCAACATGGTAAAGTAAGTGACACAAATACGTATTATAGATTGGTGGACAAGCTGATCATTATAGTGTCACATCCTCATGGCTGTTCTAAGCAGGTCTCTGTAGGTCACTGGGTGGACAGGCAGAAGGCGGGGAAGTATGAGACTAGGTACACGTATACAACGTGTACCTGCCCAGGAAGCAGTGGGGCTCTGGTCTACAGACTGGGGTGCCACTGGATGTCTCTTCATCCCCACAGTGGAGCTAAGTCTGATGGATTAAATTATAGTGGGGAGTGGATAGAGTGAGATATGTAGTTGCATGCACTTGTATAAAATGTAATCAAACATGACGTTTGTTAGTTGTCTGCTCAATATTATGTTGTACAATTTAATTGATCTTTTAAAGAACATTTTAATTAATTTTTTCGTTATTTTTATCAGAACAATTTTGGAGATGCTTGTTTGGGAGTGAAGAAAAAAATGTGTCACAAATTTCTTTTAAATATAATCTTAAATAAACAATTTTATAGCAACTTGTTTTTGGACGTGCGATTTACCAGACGCAATACGCAAAATGGCGAGGCGGTAAACTGCGAGAAGAAAATGCGAGACATACCTGCGACTATATATATATATATATATATATATATATATATATATATATATATATATATATATATATAATATATATATATATATATATAAATAAATAAATAAATATATATATATATATATATATATATATATATATATATATATATATATATATATATATATATTCGGGGGTCATCCATATATGGCATCACGCCTGTCAATTTTCGTCACAAAAACATACCAGACCCCACATTAAAAAAGAGGTCATACCTATTTAGGCTCAGCATGGTCCTGACCACTCTATTCATTCATATGCTGAGGTCCCAAAAAAAGGTCGATTCCGACCCCCGTCCCCCCCGTCCCCCCACGAAAATTTCAAGTGCTCCCCCGGAAAAAAAAAGTCTGGAAGAAACACTGGTCACGGCTAGTACTAGGTTGTGGTTAAGTTAGTTGAATAGTTCGTTTTGTGTCGATCATTTTTTGTGTGGTCAAAAGCAACAATTTTTACTTTCTCGTATATACGAAGTATAGAGAAAGTCTTGTAATCGTGCAAAAAAAAAATTGAGATTTTTACAAATCTCGACGTTTTACACCTCACTGATACGGAAAAACATAATTTTGAAATCTTGTTCGTATGTCTGTGTGTCTGTGTGTGTGTGTTTGTAAACACGATTCCTTGTGTACCGTTACAGCTAGGTTGCTGAAATTTCATATATATGTATTTTATCAAAATCGTAGATCCGTATAAACTTTTGAGCGATTTCCGATAATCGGAAGTGGTACTTTTTCTACTTTGAATTCTTCAAAAGCCTATAACTTGAGTACTATTTCAGATAGATACATGAAATTTTACATGTAAGTAAAAGATCTAATTCTCTACCTTCTGTCAAATTTTGAGTAATTTTCGTTGACAGGAAGTACAATTTACGCTATTTCCGATTTCTCAAAAAACGCATGTAAATTTATAAAGTACTAATAATATTGCGCACTATAATGCACATTTTTTTTGTGTTCGCTTGGTGCGCAATTATTTTTTTCTATGAGATTCTATTCTATTTTTAAAAGTTTAAGTAATTAAAAATCATGTCTATATTCCAAGTTATATAAGAATATTCGAGAAAGTTTAGGGGAGATCACTCCCGGTTTATTAAGTCTACTACTATTGAGACGTTTTAACAAATGTATACGCTCGTTACTTAACGGCTAGGCATGCTGTTGGGCTTCGCTTAGGTTTTCAAAAAAAAAAAAATGAGAATTTGAATGCTTAATTAAGAAGGGAGTGGCTGTTATGTGTAGTGATATCGTTTAAACAGAAACGCTAATTTTAGAGAAATTGTTGTTCTTGTTGTTTGTTACAGCGAACGTGTGGCTACATTTACATAAATAAAAGATACAATAATTGACATTTTGAAATCTAATATTTTCTTTTTTTTAATCCAAAGAAAGGTTGGTATGTTTGTTTGAATGTTTAGTACCGACTAGTGCAGCTATCATGTGGTGTGGGAATACATTGGAGTTTTAGAGGTCAAAAATTGGTTAACAGTGTTCTCATAAAAGAGTGAAAAAAGGCAACACGTGTTATTAAAGTTAACCAAACAATTATAAGTATTAATTTAAAGATAATAAAATGAATACAAAAGGAGGAGAGGTAATTGGAGTCATTTTGTACGTTTAATAAAGTTTTCTTTTTTTTTTTTTTTTTTTTTTTTTAATCAACAGTTGTTAAGCAAGAACTCAATGACAACAGCATCACCATTGATTAAATACAAGTTTCTAATGTTAAAATTTGGTATATATATATATATATATATATATATATATATATATATATATATATATATATATACACGCTATTAGCTGCCTTTTTAAGCTAGACACAAACAAAAAAGAAATAATTTTATAAAACGTTAATTGCATATTTTATATTAGATTTTTTTGCCTTTACTGTATAATTTAATACTTGAAAGCTGATTACTTCTGAGAATCTGTAATTTATTTAATAACTTTTCTTAAAACTTTATGTATTATATCCCTTGGACAATAAATATAACTAAATGGAACTTAACTGGTTATTACAAAAATAAAATCGAGTGAAACAAAATTGACAAATGTGATTATCTTCTCTTTAATCCTACTTCTGTTAAGGTGTTGTTTTTTTGTGTTGGGTTACGATTTGATTGGTACCAGCCCAGTTTTACATGGCATGAGAACTAGGGTTGAGGGATCTCCAACACAGGTTATTTAAAGACGTGTTAAAAGGTATAGACTGTTTTGAAAAAAAGTTATTAGATCTTCTAATATGCAACTCTCAATCAGCCCATTTACCTAGTAACAATTAAAGATAAAGACAATTTAATTACTGATTTTAAAATTAAATATTCTCTCATGTGAAATAGCTATACTAAGGGGTTTGCTTAAATCAAACTATATGAATAATACTACAAACTGGTAGATGGGGTTTGAATTGTGTGACGACGTGTGACGCTGGGGTGTTTAGAAAGTGTGACGGCATGTGACGCTGGGGTGTTTAAAAAGTGTGACGACACTTTCGAATTTTAAAACGTTCAAAACCGAATGTCTGCCAACCATCGCGTTCGTACAAACTGTTTTTATAATTTCTTATAATTTCTTATAGCAGTAGATGAATGTATTCAATACTGACCGAGCTTCATAAATATGTGTAATCAACACAAAGGCCTGTTGTAGGGCTATGGTTTAGTTATTGGGTGGGGTTACAGGTTCTGGATTATGTTTGGGGTGGTGGCTGGTCAGTTGTTATGCAATTGAGATAGTGTTCTTGTATTTAAGCCATATCGTCTTAGATGTTTAAAGGGAATTCGATTTTGAACTAGCATTTTATGCAAAGCTATTTTTCTACCGAAACATAAGCTAACAAATTTGTAACAATTTACATGTAAACAGCTATCCTTTACAGATATTTCAGAACTAGTTGTAAGAGGTTGTATTTTGCTACACCACTTTACTTATCACACCCTTTTGTGTACCTTACTGTCTACTAGACGCAGTACAAAGTCGCTTGAATCTTATGCTTCAACTAAAATTATTCTAAAATTATTCCACTTGAACAGCTTCATGCTACTGATCTCGTGTGCTCCGTGTTACTTAAAGGGGAATAACAGGCAAAATATTTTGAAAAATAATTACACGGAGTTACCTCCTTTATTATTTTAACTTACACAATTTGATAAAATTATTCCCTTTGTTTTTGCGAAGTTAGTATTGTACGTTTTTTAAACATTTACTTGTTAATATAGCTACACAAATAAAATAAGCCTTGTAGAGATGCATAAATCTTAGTGTTTGCGCTAGGTGTTGAACTTTGATTGTATGGATGTTGTGAGTGGGGGGGGGGAGTGAATGGAAGATCTTCCGCTAGTTGTGAGGATGGGGAAAGGCAACAACCACCAAATGTGAGAGTGAGGGTGATGAAGATAATGATAATCCAACACACATGTTCAAGTCAAAAATAATTTTATTTATTAAAAATGTACTATCAACTGTCTACCTAACTAATCTATACTGTACTACTACTACTTCTATCTAACTAATCTATACTTTGTACTTTCTAATAATACTACTAACTACGCACTCTATCTAACTGCACCTCCGTGACCAATCCTAACACACTACATTTTAACTCTCTACTAAACTATACATCTTTACCCAACTCAGACCGCTCTCTTCTATCTATCAACTGTCTACCTAGCTCTACATAATTACGTCCGCTCCCTACTACGACCTATTATCACCTGCCTCCTAACTGCAGATCCACACTTCAGTGGTCAGCTGACCGTCCCACGTGACCGGTCAGTCCTTTACTTTCATTGGTCTCTCTAACCAACTAACTGT